GACTGCGCCGCTGCATGCGCCGTGGCCGCCACATGCCGAGCCCCCCGCGCGCCCATTCGCAGACCCGCGCGCCGGCAGCCCGTTTCGCAACCCGTACGCGCCGCCGCTCGAAGCCCCCGCGCCAGAGCGTTACGCGCCGCGGGATGGTCGTGCGCTCCGTCAACGGTTTGAGGCGTTCCGACAGCCGCACGCCGTGGAGCCCGTGGCGACGGTTGTGGTGCGCGCGGATGGCGTGGCTCCGCTGCAGGTTTCCGCTCACGTCGACCATGTGCAGCCCGTTGCACCGTTTGGGCAGGAGGATGGAGGACCGTTACTCGTGCAGAAGTCTGTTGATCCACCGGCTGTAAAACTTGTCGAGCCGCCACCGGTACAAGAGCTCCCCGAACCACCGCCTCCGCCGCCGCCGGCCCCGGACCCACCAGATATGCCTGAGGTAAGAGAAGCAAAGCACGTGAAGAGGGCCAGCTTGCTGTTGTTGAGGAAGAAGGTTCTCATGAGTATCAAGCAGAAGAAAAAGGCCGCGGCGTCTGCAGAGCCCGAGGTACGCACCCCGTCCGTGTCAATGGACGGTTTCCAGGATCCCGCCGCGTCGGCCGTTTCATTAACAGAGAGCATGCCGGAGGGCGGGTGGAAGCGCCCGCGCGAGAGTACGCCGAGGTCAGCATCCCCAGTGCTTTCGTCGAAAGGAACGACTTCTGGCAGTGACTTGTTGATTGTCGAGTTCTCGGACAGCGATTTTGAAGAGGATAATCATGACGGCAAGCTTAGTTATATAGCTGTCGAGCGGAAAGCCCGCCCACAAAGGAAGAGACCGAGGCATGAGATTATTGAGTCCATGAAGATTCGACTCGTCCAGCTTGGCAGGTGTCCCTCCTCCTTGCATGGAAATCCCAAGCAAGCGGCGAAGCCGACGTCTACCCCGGTAAAGACGGATAAGAACAGGGCAGGCAGCAGTGAGCTTGCAGCCACGGTAACGTCCGCGGAGGTCATGGACCGCGCAACTCGAGCCCCAAAAGTTGTCAAAATGCGCAATGATACGACGATTGCGGCGATCGACTCTTCTGAGACGACAAATGGTGGCAAAGACTCTGTACTACCCGCTCCACTGGACAAGCAGGGCGTAAACGGGAATGCATCACAGAACAGACTGGCCGCGGCAACCGTCAAAGAGTTACCGGTTTTGCCGGAACCAACCGAGAGTGAAACCGCCCGCCCCACGTCAGCAGCATTGTTGAAAGAAGACATATCGAGCAACCATTCATCATCAAGCAAAACCGTATCTCCGTTGCGAAACGCCGATGAAGCCACGGGGACTAGTTCGGAAAAGAACACGGAAGCGCCAGGGTCTTTCGGGAAGATCCCAGCCCGAGCATCGAGTATGAAGAAGCCTCCTCTTGGTAGCACAGGTGTAATTGCGGCATTGCGAAAACGGATAACGGATCTGGAGAAATCCAAAAAGACCAAAAAGCTCACCCCCCCTCCTTCCCATGAAAGGAATACTAACGCTCTCACTAACCCTCTGTCTGTTGAATCAGGTAAGTTTAACAATTTCTCACGCAAACGCCCTCACTCTGAAACGGCCGTTCCCCCCCATGTACAGCCAGCTTTCAAATGCCTTAGTCTAGTTCGTGTCACTGATCTGAAGGACGAGATACCAAATTCACTAGCCCCCAATGAGCAAGGACGATACTATTCTACAGCTGTACAAGGAACGACAAAGACACGGAGAAGAAAGTTGCCTCCGAAAAAGCCGACAGGGAACACTGGCAGTGCTGCGGAGCAGGGCCGGTGGAATCGAAGAGATGACGAAGACTCCGAAGCTGTTTTCGATGAGGATTACGAGGAACCTGGTCTGGTTGACGACCTGAAACTTGAGCTTGCGTCTTCCAAGAAGCAGCTTGCATCAGTTACAGATTACGTCCAGTTGGTCAATGCCTCTGATGTGTCCTTGGCACAGGCCTCTGCCAAACTCAGCTTCAAGAGAGCGGCTCTTTCGAACCTGTCAGATCTCATGAAACGAGCAGAGTTCGAAGTGCTCGACGCAGAGCAGGACCTCGAAAAGATTACAAATGCGGCGAGGCGAATGCGGGAGTCATTAGTGGATGGCCCGTTTGCTGACATGTTTCCTATGCCTGAGATTGCCCGGACGGGCGGAGAAGGGAGGGGCACGGGCGCCTCCCCAGGTGGTTACGATCTGTCCTCTGCAACATCCCAAAGCGATGGAGGTGTGCCGACAGATGCAGAGAACGGGGACAAGGTAGCCGATGGACTGGATGCCTTGACGCGGACTGACCTCGTTCTTCAAGCATCGCCATATTCCCCGTCGTCGGGTTTTTTCTTTTTGAGCTGTCTCAGTGGACTACGAGCGTACGAACAATTCGTTTCTTTACTTGCGGTCTCCCGTGCAAAATGGGGCAAGATGAGCTCATACTTTATTCGTAACTTTTCTAACCCGTCGCCGTCTCGCTCTCCTTCACGCCTTTGCTGTGTTTCTCAAATTCCCTCCCGTGGTGGGTTACACGTATGTCGCTTACGCAATTTCGTGCTCCTCCCACCGTTGCGGGAAACAGGTATGTCTTACGAACCCCATATCACTCTCGCGCAGCAGATCGCAAGTCTACCAGTCCCCTGTCTTTGACGTGGACACACAATCTTGACCCCATGAAGACAATTTGTCCCAAGGAACTACGACGGCAATACTCTTGCGCAAGTAAGAAGTGTCAGTACGAACACTTGCGCAATTTTGAATCGATGAAAGGGCATGCCCTGGATGTCACCGACCGACTTCAGGGGTTTGCTGACATGAGCAAAGAGGATGCAGAGAAGCAAGTTGTACGAGCCAAGCTGGACATCTACTCCAATAAGAACGTAGATAATACGGTATCCTTCCTTATAACGTCCCTATTCCCTATTCCGTCTCCTGACAAACTTCCACTGAAGAAGCGAACCTAGTAGTAGCGATAGAGATGACAGTACTTTGTAGTCTTCATATTCTTGTTTTTGGCTCATAGGGACTAGCAAACTGTAGTGTACATTCCGGTAAACAGAAATGCTTTGCAACTCATCTATGCTGTCATCTATGCTGCCGTGCTGTTTGTTTTCTACGCATGGCTTTCCGGGCGGGGCCAGTCCGCCGGAGAGGGCGAGTGAAAAACAACATATCGTGGCGCGCAACTGTAGAATTTAATGTACAGTACATCCCTATTCCCACTCAATTGTCCCTGGTGGTTTCGAGGTGATATCGTATGTCACTCGGTTCACGCCAGGAACTTCGTTCACTATTCTGGCTGATGTCTTCCTAAGCATCGGGGTTGGGAGATCAAACCAATCCGCAGTCATATAGTCTGACGTCTTCACAGCTCGCAAGGTAATGACCTCTTCATAAGTGCGCTTGTCTCCCATCACCCCGACAGCCTTGACCGGTAGCAAAACTGCAAACGCCTGTCCAATCTCATTGTATAGGTTGTGAACTCGAAGTTCATGCAAAAAAATAGAATCAGCCTCTTGCAGTATCTTGAGTCTCTTCGTCGTGATATCCCCCAGTATCCGAATGGCAAGCCCCGGCCCTGGGAACGGGTGACGGAAGATGCTCTCCCTCTCAATGCCAAGCTCCAGGCCAAGCGCCCGCACTTCATCCTTAAACAAGAAGCGCAACGGCTCGATGAGCTTGAGCTTCATGTGGTCCGGCAACCCCCCGACGTTGTGATGCGTCTTGATGGTCGCAGAGGGACCCTTGTGAGAGATGGACTCTATGACATCCGGGTACAGAGTACCCTGCAACAAAAAATCGGCGTTCAACTTTGACGCCTCCTTCTCAAAGCACTCGATAAACGTGTTGCCGATAATCTTCCGCTTCTTCTCGGGTTCAGACACGCCGGTAAGGCGGTCCAAGAACTTTTCGGAAGCATCAACCAGCTGGAGGTTGACGCCGCACCTATTCGCAAGCCTATCCATGACCTCCACGGCCTCGTTCTTCCTCATGACGCCATTGTCAACCAGAAAGCCGTGAAATTGGTCGCCAACGGCCTCCTTCATGAGCACCGCCGCGACGGTCGAGTCGACACCGCCCGACACCGCGCCGATGACGACGCGGTGGCCGACCATTTCCTTGATGGCGCTCTTCGCCTCGGACACAAAGTCGGACATCGACCAGTCGCACCTGCACTTGCACACGTTGGTGACAAAGTTGCGCAGGATCTGGGTGCCGTGCTGCGTGTGGGTGACCTCGGGGTGGAACTGCAGGCCGTAAAACCAGCGCGACGGGTGCGAAACGGCGGCGTGCTCGGTGTTTGCGGTGTTGGCGACGTCGACAAAGCCGGTGGGCAGGGCGGCCAGCTTGTCGCCGTGGCTCATCCACACGGAAAAGGTGTCCGGCAAGCCGTGGAAGAGCTGGGCGAGCGGGTGTTTGCGCGCGGTGATGTGTATGTCCATGTGGCCGTACTCCTTCTTGACGCCGGGCACGACGTGGCCGCCCAGGCTCCAGGCCATCTCCTGCAGGCCGTAGCAAATGCCCAGGATTGGGATGCCGAGGTCGAAGACGCCTTCGGCTACATGCAGGCCGTCGGTGGCATACACGGACTGCGGGCCGCCCGAGAGGACAATGCCTTTGGGGTTTAGTTTGCGGATTTGGTCAGCGGATAGATCGTACGGCTGCAACTCGCAGTACACTTTGCACTCGCGTAACCTGCGCGCGATGAGGTGGCTGTACTGCGACCCGAAGTCTAGGATGAGGACGACCTCGTGCGAGGCCGTGAATGTGTCATCCATGTTTGTAGTGGGGGGCAGATGGGGCGGGGTTGAAAGATACAATTGGTCGGGTTTTTCAACGTGGTGCTTTCTTGGTGTCGTAGGGATCACGGATGGGGTGACAACAGGAGCAATTCGAATAGAAGTAAGTGTCGACGTCGGTGTGAAACACAAGTTGAGACAAGAGTTATAAAAGTTGAAGCAGAATGGGACGGAGAGCGATAAAAAAATATTTGGATTTCAGGGTGTTGGCTTCTTTTCCTATCTGAGGTGCGTGCTCGTCCTCCTTCTCCTTGATCCTTTTTGCTCTTCGTGCTCCTCTACCGCCTCTATCTTGTGAGAGAAGGGGACAACACGTCAACCGCGAGGACAGGACACTGGCGTGCCACGTCAAAGGCGAGCTTTCTCGGCTCGTGGAAACGTCAAGGAGCCCCCCCTATTCAGAGACGAATTGTCCCCAAGGGTTGTAGCGGTGTGCATCCGTGTTAGTGGGAGGCCCGTTTATTTTAGTAAGTTGTGCAGTTGAGTTAGTATTCTACCACCAACCCTAGCAGCACTTGAGTTGGCAAGTTAAACAAGGCGTCGGCCGCGCCGCGCGACCTGTGGACGTTGCAATCGGAGGAGGGCGTGGGGGGGCCGTGAAGCGGCAGGGTGAAGAAAGGAGGTCAGGTACGGCGAAGCATGTCCGGCGGCTTGTACACATACAGCTGCTTATCGTTGCCGTCCAGGGACAAGTTGCCGACAATGCGCATGGGCCTCGTGAGCGAGAAGGGGAACTTTCTCAAATTAATCGGGCGTCCGCCCATGGTAAAGCGGGCGACCTCCTCCGGGCGCCCCTCCTTCTCGAGCGCGCCCTTGTGACTGCCCAACATAACCAGGCGATGGTCGCTCTCGGCGAGCCTCCTCAGGAAGGCGACGACGTGCCTCTCCCTCATGTTCTCCAGGCCTGCCCACGCGAGCACGAGGTCTGCGGGCGGCAGTTCCTTCCTCCAGAACGGCATCTTGACGAAGCGGGCGCCGTCCCTCTCGGCCAAGCGCGCGCGCAGCTCGCGCAGCACGGCCGCGCTAGCGTCGACGCACAGGTAGCGCAGCGGCGGCTCGGCGTGGGCGGCGGCGCGGGCGTCGGCACGTGCGAGCAGCGCGGGCATCCAGTGTGCGTGAGCGCGGCACGGCACGTCGACGAGCGAGCGGACGTCGTACTGGGCGAGGAGCTTGTCGACCATGGCGACGAGGCGGGGAGCGTCCTCGCCGAGGCGTCTAGCGACGGCGGCCATGTCCTGCGCGGGCTGGTCGGCGTCGTCGTCGGTCTGGTTGGGCGCGGGCGCGGGCGGCGGGGCGGGGGGCGCGTCGGCGTCGGCGTCGGCGTCGGCGTCGGCGTCGGCGAGGACGGCGGCGTCGCTGGGGTCGCCGTCCTCGTCCGTGTCTGCGGCGTC